GCAGTTTTTATTATGCTGTTCCCTTAAGAAGTGAAGTGTTACCACAATGAAAAAGTTTCGTGGAACAGAAGTGAAAAGTAATCGATAAACGTGAGGTGGACGTATAATTTTGGGACGTCGGCTGAGTGGCCTTTTACACAAAAATTATTGAAAAAAAATTCCTGTGATCTCAAATAGAAAATTGATGTTCATAGGCAATTGCGTATTTATATGATACATTGTCACATAGGAGACTTTTTTCGAAACATCTGTATTTGTGAGATTTTGGGAAATTCTTAGGTGGACGTATAATTATGGGACGCAGTGTATACAGGTAAAGTGTGACATGGTGTAAACTTAATCCACATGAAGATCGTTCGCTGTCGCCGGACAACGACGTGTCAAATGTCATGTCGAGGCTGAAAGCGGGCCATCTCTCTGGACAGGACCACTTTGGCGCTTGATTACCGCCATTTTGGCTAGGCGATTAGCGGAATGTCCAGGCCATCATAATCTACGAGTGAAGCCGAAGAAATTGTATCCCCAGTCCTCACAAAAACGAGTGTCATGCACATTTTTGGACTGCGTAAGACAACCTGTTAAGAAATATGATTACTCTTGCAACGCATGCGTTGTCTTCTAGCAGCTTGAGGAACACGTTGAAAATTGAACGCACTTTCGAAAGCTGAGCCTTTTAAAGTAGACGACTGTTTAATCTGAAAGAAGACGTGGAAGTTTTTTTGAAGAGTGTCCGTGTTGTACCAGTTTTTTTTCTTGAAATATCAAAAATATCTTTTCGAGTATTAAGCGACGGAAATTCCCGGTGAGCGCTAGTTTTCGAATGTCATAACTCTCTTCAGTGCATTAAATCAGAAAATATGACACAGCGTGCAGAACAGAAGTTAGCTCTAATCAAAGTATATCAAAAAGTATTGGTAATCTCAGAATTGAAGGAACGATCACGCCTAAAAGATCCACTCCACTTCTATAAAAGGTGCGACTGAAACATAGATATCCTAGTCATTTACTTCGCCGCACTGATGATAGATGAAGTCTACGCGTGACGGAGTGGCTTCCAAGAAAAACGAGACCCCTAAGAGTACCGCCAACTCGATGTGCTGACTCGTTTCGAAATTTTTTTTACAGAACGCCTACACTGGATGCATTTGCCAAAATCGGGCTATGTGGAAGAGCTGTGGTTCTCACTTGGAAGACCGCCAGTTCAAGGACTATCATGTAAAGTATCAAAGTAATCTAATCTCGGTTTCGTTGACCAATTTGACGCCTACCGGATGGCTTTACCTTTCACTTACTCTGAAACAACTCATTAGCAACAGAACTACTGTTGAGAAGGAAATGTTGGACGACTGTGTTCATGTGCAGGGTGACTACAGGGTATTTTCCGTAATTATTCTCATGTAAAAAATAAATACGGCGGCGCAGTTCATCATGGAATTTTGCTATATGGTAAGATCCAGACACAGGAGCATTTATTAAGGGTACTGTTCGAAATAGTAGCCTTTGTCCAGAATACAAGCTTCCAATCTCTTGGTGAAGGGCCTCCATATAGGAAAGTTATTTGGCCACATGTTTCTGTTCCGGAATTCAGGAATAATGACATTGGCAGAAGGAAAACGTAGATTTTGACCCATGTGCTGGCGCCCAGTCTTGTTACAAAAAAAATTTCGCCCTTCAAAGTGTTTATGAGAACGCGGCATCAGTGTGTCCCTCAAAATAACATTCTGGTGGGTTCCCCAGTCGATTTTGAAGTTCTTATCGAAAAACGATAGGTGCCTCGCCTTCTGATGGTATCCCGCCCCAAACCATCACCGACTTCGGAAACACGCACCTGGTTTTTACCCGTCATTTTCTGGGGTTTCTCTCTGACGGACTAAGCAGTTGCCGCTGGTTTCGGCTGTTGTGCGCGACCTCAACCGTGAAGATTTTCTCGTCAGTCCGGACGATGTTTGAAAGGCGGCCGCACGAACTGCTGGCAGAAGCTTCTTACATTTCTTCAGTGTATTCTTCTTGCGGCTTCACTGAGCACCTGTCCTCGAAAGAAGCAGGTAACTGTGCAAATCCAGTTCAAATCTCACGAGGTTTTGAGCACTTCTCGTGAGATATGCTAATCTTCTAGAAGCGATTTTGTTCATACTAACTTCACCGTTGCGTGGAGATTCCTTTTTTTCGTACTACCAGTCGTGATAAATCGGCGTTAGTGCATGACTGACATGCTCTATCCAGAACATATATCACACTTGAAACAGTGATTTACAGGTTAGCAAGCGACGTGTAAATTAGCGGACCATACTTTATAGCTACCCTGTAGATGTGATTTACTCCTCTATATAATACATAACCCTTCCTCAACAATGGCTTCCTGTTCTGTGCTCGTATAAAAATAATTATCTAGTGATGTCTTCAGTCACAAGCGGAGCCTGTGTCTTGCTTATCATCCATCAGTGAGTATGCTGTCTACTGTTTTTTCCCTTAGTACTCAACTACACTAATGTCAGCCACGTTTTGCTCACATGTAGACACCCTTCGTGAGCACTGCGAGCCAGCTCCTGTTTAGATCGGAGAGATTCCTATAGCACCGGGCTATGTTGTGTTGCGGCTCTGCAGTTGGTTATTTTTAAGGTTACTGGTGTTTAGTAGATCTTAATATGTACAACCCGAAAGCTTTCTTCATGCGCTCCACTAACTAAAGAAAAACATGGAAATCACTAAAGTGAACCACTGAAACTGTGCCTTACCTCGTTCTGCGATCGAATAAAAAATATCATACATAAACCCCTGTGCATTCAAATTATGCACCAGATTGTTTGTTCTTCTGCACCTCTGAGCATTAATAGCTAACCATGAAAACAAAGCAGCGCTCGAAATCACGCAAAAAAGTAGATTGCATTTCGGTATCAGGAGGACGCCGAGAGTCATTCCTTCAAGTCTATTTATTCTGTACGTTTCCTTCTCATGGCAGTACATAGTGAGTTGAGCGGGCTAACGAGCAGTGTTGTCTGTTTGCACTAAAAATGAAACGCCTCTCAATATTGTGCTGTCCCGGAGCCTCATCAGCACCTAAATATTGTATAACACAGAGAGGCACCAAAATTTTATTTCAAAAGAATTCCAAAAGTTCACAAAATTCAAAAATTCCAAAAACTCAAAAGTTCCAAAAAGCAAGAAAAGTTTGAAAAAGAATTCCTTTGAAATCTTCCGCGATATTTCGGTGTATTAACACCTTCTTCAGGCCTGAAATACATTGATTATAGTTGGTATAATTAATTTGGTGGTTTCCTACACCCATATTGATACCCACATGTGTTTGCCACAGCCAAGGATAAAGCTGCCCTTACGGGAGCCGCGCCGTTGGAGTGAAACAGAAATGACTTACCCTCACCCCTTGCTTAAATAGTAGCGGACGTACTGTGACGGTCATTGCATGTGATATGAAAAATTACGTGACATTGGTTACGTAGTTAATACAATAGTTATAGAATGTCCCGCACTACCTTCCAGCAATCCCGATCACAGCTTTCATTTTTTGTGCCAACGCTTCAGAGAGTGGAAGACTGTTCGGCCGCTGCCGAAGGTCGCTCGGGGTTGGTTGGCAGGGTGCGGGGGACGCATTGAAATTCTTAAAATAGGTGTCAGTAGGTTCTGTGTTATCATAACGTGTCCATTAACACTGGTTCTGTGCTGACGACAGAACTTCCCACTGCTTTCTTTTTCGAGATAACTTATTAGGTTGGAAAGAAAGTTCTGCGACACTCTTTCTAAAATTTTCTTTTTTTCTGAAAAATTCATAGGTAACATTTATGACTAACAAATGGTAGAGCATTCTCGAGGCTTCAATCCACGAGGTGGATATAAGTGCTGCAGTCAGTAGTTATCCAAGAAAATTCAAAAAACCCGACCACTAGTAAATCCACACTCCGAGTCACTGTCTAGTACAAATGTCTCCATAACTATGGATTCGTGTCAAAGACCAACACTATCTGCAATAGCTTCAATAGGCATGTCCGTTCACCGCTACAGCGTGTTTCACCTTTACCAGCGCTTTCGATCTTTTGATATTTTTATAAGAAGCCAGCAGCGTCCCACACACTCCATTACAGGTAGGGCTCTTACGGAAGCTCCACTACAATTCTTCGTTATGGGCACCATTGTGTAGGTAGAGGTCTAGGCTGCGGAACTCCAGAAGCTGGCCGAGGCAGCTCGTCAGGAGCCCTCGTACCGCGACAATATTTATTTCTTTCATGACATTGCGAATCACCATGATCCGAAATGAGCCCGGTAAGAAATTCTGGAGCTGCGGCAAGATTTCTTACCTCTCTTAGCGTATTCCCCTGGTCGAGCTATAAATGACTGCCACCTATCCTGGACCTTAAATCATCATCTTGATGACGAAATAATTAGACGATCAACTCCAACTCGAAAGTGAGGTCGCCTCCTTTCTCGACCCGCACTCCGCTGGGTTTTGGCAAAGGAGCATCAAGAAATTTTCTGAGCGTTGAAGACAAGTGGTGGACACTCATGGTAGATATAAGACCGGTCAGGAGTTGTAAACAAAAAAGATAAAATTAAAATCAAAAATTTGAAAAAGTGTTGCAGGACTTTCTTTCCAACCTAATACATGACTTGCACCGCTACATGACTCCTTATCTTGTTATTCAAAAGGAGACTTTTTTTGTTCAACATAGTCGACGACTGGAAGTTGTACATTTTGAACAAGACGCAGAGCACCGTCTTGAATGACCTGAAGCTCTTTTTAGGGTTTTTCTTCTATTAAGGAAAACCCTTCAAATCAATTCTCTTCAAATCTTTCTTTTATGAAAGCAGAGAAGATTTGGAATTGAAGTAATACCGAATGTTATTTCGTTGGAACATGCCATGAGCTTAATGTTGTACTATTAATGCACAAACATTCGAAAAATCCTAAAGATTCATTCTGCTTCAATGAAAAAGCGACAAGTGATCAAACAAAGAACAAGTACGGCGCTTTAGGATCGCGTGGCAATTCACACAGTAGACCTCCACATCTTGAATTCCTTCATTTTGCACACATCCTTCACTTTAGCCGCGCTCGCACAGCCGGTTTTGTCCCCCTTCTGATACAAATCTGTCTTTTTAGGAGCTCTGAAAAATGATAATACAAACGATTGGCGGCACTCCTTTGTATATGTAGGTTGTTTACTTTTTGTTGTAGACACATGCAAACACAGCCTCGCCCACACCACCAAAACTATCACCGCACTGCTCATAATTGCAGCCTAATTCGTAGATTTCATGGTGAGCCATCTGGAATTAATCGATATCGTGTCAATCCAGAATAAGGAATGTTCAGGAATGTGGGTAACGTACATTGGCAAAGGTGTATAAACGGTCGGACTCGTAGCGCGTATCTTTCATGAAGTAATACTGGGCTGGCAAGGTCCACCGATACATCGCATCATGAATGACAGCATTTTTACCTTCTTTGGAAATGTACTCTCCATCGTTGGTACTGAAATGGACTAGAACATTTGAGCGATCTATGCAATTGTGACAACACGACTGTTCTGCTTACTAGTGAACATTCTGCCCATTATCCAGCGATTCGCTCACGGAATGAGAACAGTTTTTAGTCAACTTCAGCGCTTTTTCTTCGAGGGCGCAGCTCCATCTCTGAAGCAATCTAGAGGCATAGAAAAAAGCAGGAGTTTCCATTATAAATACACCAGTTTTGCTTCGCCCGCTATCGCGCGCATCACACGGCAGGCTTTAGCGAAACTGGAGGACCCATGGAATATCAGCATGAGATACTCCATTAACCATCTCACTATTGACTGTGTTAGACCCTCCACAGTTTCACTGAAGCTCATCGAGAATACGCGTGATAACGTCTGAGCTGAACTGGTATATTGATCACAACTCTGTAAACATCCAGCATTTTCTTGAATTAAGATAATTTAGCGGTGAATAGGATTGCTGTCAGTCTCAAAATCAAAACGAAATATGCCTATTTACATAAGTGAGGAGCTAATGCTTATCATTCATTTACATTCATCATTATTTAGAACCACGAAAGGATTAGCGGTTTAATGAGTTTGGGTTTTCTTAATAGTCAGAAATGAAACTTATCATTTGCTGAAGACTTGTTTTTTAAAGTTTATGCAGTCGAATTCTATTAAGTAAGCTGGATATATATCGAAATAACAATGTGCACGTACTTTGTTTTGTACTACTATTACTTACTGGTTGCTCGTTGGCAAGCGCGGAGCAGGCAACGAAATCGGCGACTTCAGGCGTTCCTGCGTGCGCCTTTGTCGGTGCCTTATCTGGTTTTATGTTTCAATAATATACACAATCCCGACCCCCAAAAAAAAAAAAAAAAAAAAAAAAAAAAAAAAAAAAAAAAAAAAAAAAAAAAAAAAAAAAAAAAAAAAAAAAAAAAAAAAAAAAAAAAAAAAAAAAAAAAAAAAAAAAAATTGTAAAAATTAAAAGACCAATATGAACGACAAAACGAAATTGGCGATGCTCGCTTTCTAGCCCCTCTTATCAGCTATTATCAGTCGTTATCAGTTCCTATCACGTACCACTTGTGTCCCCATCCCACCCCCTATAACATATGTAAGAACCACTGCGCTATCCTCGAGCTATGAATTTCCGGTCAAACACACACACACACCAACAGACACACGCTAGCCGCTTATATATAGTAGGATTGGCTTTGATTATGGTGTCAAGCCACCTTTGCCACCATGATCTGTTGGATGACAGATCGATATCTAGTTGATGCTCTAGATTTCAAAACTCTAAAACTTGGAAGTGTATTATGGGAAAGATTTGTGAACTTCTTTTTGGTCAGTACTCAAGTCAAGAAATTCATCGGTTGTAAGCACAACTAACTATTAGGTGTTTCAGAAAGTTCTGTCGTTTTCCAACCCCTAATTTTAAATGCACGTATCTCGGCTTAGACTGAACCTTTCGAGTTGAGTGAAAAAACCATTCGAAAGCACATATCTTTTTCTATAAGAAGCCGTTAAACACTGAACTGAAGAAACTGGGCCACTAGAAGCAACTGGGTACGTATGTTTGGAATGCTGGACCTCTCGAGGCGATGAACTGAGGGAAGGTCGTTTTAGCATCATGTTGGGTTTTGATGTATTTCTCTTCAAGGAAGCTATCGAGATCGTCAGAAATTTGACAGTAGATAGACCAAAGGTCTACTAAGTAAGATGTTCGCAGAACCACTCTGAAGTTCAGCTGGTACAACTTGTGAAGGGTTGGCCGTGCGATGTGCGTTCAAGACACCTTTCAGGGATGTGTGCGTTCCTTTATAATGAGGAATGCTGGACCCATGTCTTAGAGTTTTTGATGATTTTTGACTTAATATAAAGATTGATTCTCCACTGTAACAGTTCCACCTGATACTGAAGAACATGGCCAGCCGCTGACCCCATGAAAGCTGCCACAACCCTCCTCCAGCACAGTTTAAATTCTGCAAAGTTTGTAGAGCTTCATCGCCGTCGATCTATTCAGCAAACCTTCGTGGAGACTATAGAGAAGAATCCGCTCTTTATTGTACGTCGCAAATCTGTAGAGAAACGAGTCGCTTTTATCACATAAAACAAGCGACAATTTGATGGACGACCCTTCAAATTGGTGATTTGTCGCGGCACGCCCCTATCAAATTTTTTGGACTTTCCAGCTTCTTCCGTATAGCTTGGCTGTACAAACCATATACGCCCAGGTTGGGCAGAACCTCCTCTATGGTCTTACGCACGAGTGCTTCAATCAGAACTTTTGGCTAATCGGAGACACCGTCCGATATCCGACCACTACTCTCATCATATTCAAGGCTCTCGCCTTCGTTACAATAAATTTTTTAACTACTGCTTCTGAGCACATTTATTGCAAATCTAGGCCAAAGCATCGTTAATATCTTGAACTGTTCCCGCCACTTTCAGGTCTATTTAAAGCTAGAAAAAGAAAGTCATGCCAACTTGCTCATCGAGTATACCGCATTCAAAGCTTTGAAAAAGCTATAAGAAAATATTTTAGGACAAAGTGAGCTAAGCATTGGATAGAGCTGGAAAAGCTCTTCAAAATGATATCAACATCAATTGCAGCTTTCCCAGACTT